CCCTCCAGCCGACAGGCCGAGCCCAGCACCCTGACTGACCAGGCTCCTGCCTCTCCTCTTGTTGCAGCGTCTCCTTTGTTGTCCGACAAACACAAACATTCCAGAGAGAACTCCTGCCTGTCCCCAAGGGAGAGACCCTGCAGTGCCATCTACCCGACCCCTGGGGAACCTTCTCAGGTAGCCCTCTCCGTGCGCAGACCTAGAAAGCAAGGCAAGGCTGCAGCGGCGACAGATGCCAGCAGCCGGCCCGCGACAGCGCCTCCTGCTGGAGGCCAGGGGCCCTGCCCGCGACAGCGCCTCCTGCTGGAGGCCAGGGGCCCTGCTCTCTCAGCGCCTCCTGCTGGAGGCCAGGGGCCCTGCTCGCTCAGTGCCTGCTGCCCGGAGTTTCCCAGCTACTGTCTGAGGAGACGCGTGGGGCCTGGGGCGTTGCCGGAGCCGTAGAGCTGGGGGGAAGCGGGAAATGCCCCCCTCCCCCCCGGCCTGACTCCGCATCTCATTGCTGCCACTTACACATCACAGGAGGTCATGCCTGGGTGAGGGAGTTGGTCTGGATCTTGGTATGTTTGTGTGCTAGCGCTGCTGAAATTGTTTTCTTTCTTTATATACTTTTTAAAATAATGGGATTCCCCCCCCCAACATCTAATTATGTTCCATGGGATTGGGAGCCAGAGACCTGCTGTTGCATTTAGTGACCCAGAATTTGCTATGATGGGATAAGAGTCACGAAAGGAAAGAGATACAGTATCGAGTGAGGGAGAAAAGAATAAATCGCATGTTAATTTGGCCCTGTGCTGTTTTTAATAATTGATGAGAGAGAGAGAGAGAGAAGCAGGGATTTGTTGGCCCGCCGATCGATGCGTCCCTGGTTGCCGCTGGCACACGCCCCGACCGGGGTTGAACCTGCAACCTCAGCCCATCGGGCGATGCCCTAACCAGCTGCGCCGCCCGGCCGGGGCAGCCCTTGTATTTATAAAGGGCACCGTGGCCTAACCGCTGCTTGCTCTCTATTTTTTCCCTTACATTCTATTGTGAAGTTATTTACCATTTTTATTTAAAATCTAAGGCGAACTTTCGAAACGCTGTGCTCTCTCTCAGAGCCCGAGGCTCTTATTCCTTCTGTTCCCATAAATATCATTTAATTCTTTGTTTCCAGGGGCATCCGACACCATACAAAAGTTGTTTTGAACACAAACTTTCAGTAGCGAGATGATCTCATTTTCTAGAAGGTCTCCCACGTCCGCGCATTGCGCCGTAAAAATAGGTTCTTGTACCTTTCCAGAGGCTGCTGTTCAATCACATTGGGGACGGGGCCCTGCCGCGCAGTGACCCAAACCTGTCTGCACCCGAGAAAGGTAGGTGGCGCCGGCTCCCGCGTCGGCCCCGGGGCGTGTGCGGGTCTGTCTGTCTTCATTGCCACCCGTCTTCCTCGTGTCTGTGTGGAAGGCGCATCCCCGCGTCTTGGAGGATCACGACTCATTTGCCCTTTAGGGGTTAGTGAAAGACGGTCGCTCACGGTGCGGTCTTTAAAAACCGCGTTCCCGTGGGATTTAACAGCAGGACCTGGGCGAGTCAGGGACTCCTCTGCGAAGTGGCTCTCGGTGTTGGCCAATGAGTCGCCGAGGCCAACCCGGGCTTCCTGAGACAGGGATGCCAGGGACGCTGTGGGTTCCACACGGGAAAATCCACCTTCCCAGATGAGCCCCTGGGCCCCCCTTTGTCCTCACGCAGCTCCTCTGCCAGCTCATCTGTTGTTTGCGGTGACTCAGACACTAGTTAGGAATTGCAACCCAGTGCACAACGGAGTATGCCCTGCCTCAAGGTCGCACAGAAAGGGAAAACAGACGTTGCTTTGCAGGGAACCGCCAATTGGCATCAGTCTGTGAGCACAGAGTAAGGCTTCCTCCGCTGGGGGGCAGCAAGTCACCCGCTGGCCTCTCTCGGGGTCAGCCTCACAAACCCCAGCGGCCCCACCAGCCAGGGAACCGGGAGTCGCTAATGAAATGTCCCGTAACATGCCCTTTCATCACCCTCATTAAGAACTAGATCGGCTGTCGTTCAAGTGAACCGATACAGTAGCATCGCAGCTGTGCTGTCCCCGAGAGATCAAAAGGAGTGAGGTCATAGCCCAGATTAATTTGAAAACACAAATTTCGCTTTCATGTTACAGGTCAGATACTGATTTCTGTCTGGAGAATTTAGGAGTAAGGTCTTTTTCTCATCCCTGCAGAGAAAACAAGAAAGCAAATGTAAAAGGGACCTAGAGAAGGTGTTTCAAGGGTGGTGATGAATTGCGCCCTATTAAACAAAGGCTGCAACTTAGTGGCGGACTGTTGCGATCCTGGCCACGTCCAGCAGGTGGCAGTGTCTGCGCAGGGAGCGGCCGTGGGAACTCGCCAGGAGGGGCTGTGCCGGCCTCATGGCAAAGCATGAGCTTATTTATACCTTGTGCGTCTAGCCCTGTCCCTGTCAGCGTTGTTCCCCGTTTCTGCATCTTACTGAAGCATGCAACAGGCCAATTAGAAATAAGAACGATGCCGTCAGCACCTAAATGATTATTTTTTTTAGGATGTACTTCAGGAGAATGAATTGCCTTCGGGAACAAGGGTCCTTTGCTCAGAGTTGGTCCCCAGGGCCGTGCGGTACGGCTGTTCCTTCCCCTAATCCTGCCAGACCGTTGGAATATTAGCCTGTCATTGCCTTCCCCCTTTTTGAGTGCCACCTGTCCATAAATTTCCACTAAAAATCAAGTTTTAAAATAGCCTAGTGACAACATCGTCCACCTGTTCTCTAGCATCTAACACATTCGTGGTTCTCAAGTCCCTGCGCTGTGCGTGTGGAGATCTGTAGTTCTGTTTGACGGCTTGAGAGCAATAAACAGACANGAAAATCAAGTTTTAAAATAGCCTAGTGACAGCATCGTCCACCTGTTCTCTAGCATCTAACACATTCGTGGTTCTCAACAAGTCCCTGCGCTGTGCGTGTGGAGATCTGTAGTTCTGTTTGACGGCTTGAGAACAATAAACAGACATGGCATCGCCCAATTTAATAAATGCCAGCTGTCACCGTGAGGTAGGCAATTAAGTGAAGGTTTAATAAATAACAAGAGTGTTCCTGGTTTTTAAAAAAATATTATTATTAAATCCAGTTGATTTTTTTCATTCTGGATAATTCTGACTTTCTTCCGAGCTCTCAGGTGTCCGAAGGGCAGAGTGTTTTTAGCTGTGTTGTTTCCTTCCAGCTGTGAACCCCACCCCTAGCAGCTGGAGCCTGGACAGTGGCAAGGAAGCCAAGAGCATGTCGGATAGCGGGAAACTGCTGTCCCCCCCTGTCCCTCCGAGACCCACACAGACCGGTGGGTATCTGAAGGATTTCACGACCACTTGTGTACAGTAATAACTTTCACCGGCTGCCGCAGCTTGTGAGTTGCTCAGAGAAAGGCAGGCGCTTTCGGAGGTGGAAACCTCAGTAGCTGCGTAATTCGGTTACAATGTTTCCTCTTTGCTGAGCTCCTGCTACACTAAGCTCCATAGACAGACACTGTAGCACGTTCTCCCAGACGGACGCCACCCTCAAGCTGTGGGCTGGGACTAACCTTGGAAGCCACCTGCGTGGTCTCCCGGAGCCCCTCATGCCCTCAGCCTCTAACTCGCTCTCTTCCGTCTCACGTGGGGCTGGTGCCGGAGCTTCAGGCCGCCCTGACCAGAACTGACTGTAACTTTGACGGGCGGGGGGGAGCCACTGCGCACAGCCACGGCCGTCTGCTGCTTGGAGGGGACTGTCTCACAGTCATTCCTCAGAGGGTTGGCTTAGATGTCCAGAACCACTGGAGATTATTTTCCTTTGGGAGTTGAGAGCAGCAACAGGGCCCCTTTCCTCCGGGAAAGCCCTTCGCTTGGTGAGCTACATTCGGTTCTTCGTTAAGAGGGGCCTGGCCCCTCCGCCGGCTCCCCCGACCCTGGTCCTGGGGACAGAGTTTCCAACACAGACGTGTGTCGAGAGCAGGTTCGAAGCTTTGCAGACACAGCTGTCCGACTGGTAGGAGGAAATCGGATCCTGTTTCCTTCGTGGACTTTTCGGGAGGATCCTGTTTCATGGGCTGCATTTTAGCATCTTTCTTTTTTCACCGAGAAGAAGAAAGTGCCTTTTTTTTAAAATAAACAATGTGCCGCCCAGTTTGTTCAGTAGTTGCCGAAGCTAAATGTCACCAGCAGGCTTTGAAAGGCCATGAGCTCTTTAAACAGAGCCAGAGAGGCCTGGGCTTAGTTGCTGATCTGCCCGAGGGCATCGCCGTGGCCGGGAGGTGAGGGCTCATCGACCAGGTGACTTGTGTTCTGCAGTGGAAACCTGGTCGTGTGGCTCAAGGTGGGAACTGGAAAAGTGCTTCCCAAAGCAGCGGTCACGCTGGCAGCGGTTAGGTCCACAGGCCCGTTCAGACTTGTAGACAGGGTCCTGATAGAACTAGTTGAGGCTCCAGGGAGGACTCCTTTCTAAAGAGACAGCTCTGTGGACATGAGTGGGTGCAGGTCCACGGGGGGGCCACTGGACGCCTGAGTCGGGAAAAGGGCCCGAGCTGCAGTGAACCTCGACCCCGGCCCCAGAGGCGGTGGACGTCCAGCTCCCAGTGGGAACCTGGTTCCCTAGGCGGACGCGATTTCCTTCCACGATCCCTGCCCACAGCGGAGAGGCTAGAACAGGACAGGTGCCCACAGCGTGCCCTAGCGTGCCAGGCGGGGGTTGCACCTCCCGCCCTGTGATACGGGACCCCTCTCCCTGACCCCGGGCCCGGGGCACACAGGTGGCCTTGCCTCTGCAGCTTACCGGCCGTGGCTGCCTCCCTTCTGCACTGAGCGCTCTCCCGGCCTGTACTCTGTCGTCACCTGTGGTCACTGTGGGGGGGATCTGTGACTATCCGTCTGTCTCCGCTTCAGCCTCTCTGTGGTTTTCTTGTGAGTTATAAACCTCATGGCGACATTGGGAGGACAGTGGCTCACAACAGAGCAGCCGACCCCGAACTCACGGACAGCCGTGTCTGTGGAGTTAGGAGATGTGTCCGCACTCGCCGTGTGGCAGCACTGTGCAGACGTGGGCACGCCGAGGCTGTCCCCTGGCTGTCCCCTGGCTGTGCCTGGGAGAGACGGGCCGACCCTCAGCAGTGCACACAGAGCGGCCCATTGATCGCATGTGCTGCGTCCAGGCGGAGGGCTGGACCCTCAAGTGTCCCCGACTTAGGGCTGGACAGTCCAGTGTGGGAAACAGAGCGAGCGAGGACCTCGCTGCACAAGGATGAAATCTGTAGGGAGCCACCCCCATCCCAGGGCCAGGGGGAGGACCTGAATGAAAGCAGGCATGGGGGGGCCCCATGGGACACTCCTCACCTCTCGGATGGCCGTGGCCAAGGGTTTTCTGCTAGTGTGGGGCCCTGCCCCTCTGGTTGAAGCACCCCAAGCGCTGTGACTTTTCACTCGCTGCCCCAGTCTGGACCCTGCCGTCCTTCGGGCCGGTGTCGTTTAGTCGCTTCCCCACTGCCCTCGCCCAGGAGGCCCTTGTGCCCCAGGTCACCTGGACGGGTTTGCACACACAGGGGGCATCTGCAGATCCTCCGCGGGCTGGTTTTTCTGAACTGAAATGCTCTGTCTCTCTACAGCTTCGCCTGCAAGACACACGACATCGGTATCCCCCTCGCCTGCCGGGCGGTCTCCGCTGAAGGTAGGGGCTCTTATTTAACTGGGGCCGCAGACGGGCCCCATGACCCTTTTTCCCTTGNGGGCTTCCGTCTGCACGGGGCAGGCAGAGAACACAGGAGGCCGGGTAGGGACGCAGCCCTGGGCTTTCCCCGTGGGGAGCCGCCTCCCTTCAGGTTATTACCTTGTTCTGCAAGTGGTGCCAGTGAGGCTGTGCGGGCCGGGGTGAGATGCCCCCTGAATCAGGTAGGAAATACGGTCCCGTGACCTCCTAGGATATGTCCAGCCGGGCCTTTTGGTTGAAGGGACATTAACACACACACAAAACCCTTAAATCGACGTCAGCCATCAAGGTCTACTCAGTGCTTTCTGGGCCTTTTACCCTTGTCAGCAGCCCCCCCCCCC